CCGTTCGACGGTGAAAGGGGAAGTGACCGTCGAGTCTGTCTCTGTCTTTTTTGTTGCATAGTTTTTTTTTATATAATAATTGTTGTATAGTTCAATGGTACAGAACATGAAGCGAAATAGAGATTCGAACTACGTAGTACGAAGGAGGAGCAAATGTTGGAAGTATATGGGAGCCCGATCGAGGCTCCATTAATGCCTTGTTGGGGAAACTATAATAATATGATGGGTGAAGAAATTGAGAGATGTAATTACGGTGGAAAGGAATACTAAACCATTATCATTGGGAATGTGGGGGGAAATAATAGAATTGCGGGGATGAATGTACAAAACGTATGTTTGAGATTATCATTTATCATGTACAGGAAATTTTTTATGTTAGATGGTTTTGAGGATATGGGTTGCTGGCAGCAGATTCAGGATAGGTTAGAGCATTGGACCACATTTAAAAAGAAACAAAGAGGGCTGGACCAAAACCTGACGAGAACATAAGCGAATACCTAAAATCGGAAATTTACAAGGGCTATATACCAGCTCCGGATCCAGGGGAGCCCCCCCTAGATCCGTCGCTGGTTGCTAGAAGGGGTACGTACCTTTCGTCGTTATTGTACATGCCGCTAGCTAGAAGGTTGCACAAACACATCATATCATGCACGTGCCTAAACCAACATTTGATATTTGGGGTTGTCAGAATTCAAAAACGTGGTCAAAATTTATGATACCATGACGATAACTAGCTAGTCGGTGATCTCTCGGGAACTCAGAATTTTGGAAAGAGCCTCAAGTATGTGTCTTAAGAAGGGTTGGTACGTTTCCAACAAACCGATGTCGTGTCTTTTAAAGACCCACACTGTGTCGTAGTTACATTATTTCATAGAAGAGTTTAATAAAAAGTATAACGTACAACAACGAAGATAAATCATATTAAAATGGACTGAGGTGAAACCGACCGACACAAAATCAAAACTCATTTCCGAACCTCATCCTACTCGCCAAGCAAATAATACCTACCCAAAACAAGCTCAAACACATCTTTAATTATCGTCGCGCACGAATCATATCGAAATTTCTCTCCTCGGAACCAATCAACCCAATTCGTGAAAGCCAAAGATCGAACCAATTGTCAAGAGTCAAAAGTTGAAGGACCTCGAAGTACTTCTTCTTCTTCTTCTTCACTCCTTTTGTCTTCTTCCTCTCTTCTCTCTCTCTCACACACTAGTCTCTTCCCCAGGTCCGGAACCGGAAAACCACCACCGACATGTCAGCTTCTGGCTGTCGGGGCAGTGATGAGCTTCTACCCAACATGTGGGCTTCCCGATTCCCGACTCCTGGTCCCAGCCCATAAACTGATCCAACGGCCCTCATCCCTTCTCCCATCCCATCGCGCCTAGCTCGATTCACTTTTGGTCTTTCTTTATTATAGTTTTCTTCCTTCTTCTTTCTTGGGGACAAGGCTGGGATCCCAACTTTTGATCCTTCTTTTTTCTGGGGTGCTGCAATGCAAGGAAATGATCGACTCTGTAGTCAAAAGGTCCCAAGTGGGTCAAACCCAGTCCATCATCTTCCCTCCCATGGCGCCATAGATGGTGTAGTGTTGTAGCAGTAGGCTATAGTTGTAGCATGCATAAGCTAACATAGAGGTTTGCCCTCTATTTGGGGATGGATGGTTGCCTTGAGTCCCAAACATTGGACCCATAAGATCATGACTCAAATGGATAATAAATACGAGAAATAGAATACTCAACATCGTGAATTTTTATTGGATTATGACGCACATTGTATCTGGTGAACCACGTGCGTGTTTTCCCCCCTTGCGTTGTCAATTAAGTTACAAAGAATAGTTGTGAATAATTGACGTTTAGGATTGCAAGGATGCCTTACAATTTGTGCCTAGCTTGATCGCCTGTCACTATTATGGGGTCGACGAGATTGACACTTTACACCCCTGAGTTGATAAAACTGTAATACCATTATGATCAATAACTATTTGACTTAGTGACGGAGCCAGAAATTTGAACGAGAAGGGGCTAAAAATGTACATTTATGGGATTTGAGTAGGAGAGGGATGTTAAGGCCTTACAACCTACTCTATTCTTCAAATTTGTTATAAAGTTTACATGTAATTTAAACAATTTAAAGAGTTGAGAGGCGCTATTGATTTTGACTCAGGTCACAAGTAATAAGCTAGAAAACTCATGAACATACGTTGTGGACTTGTGGCAGGGAGAGTTTTTGTTCCCAATGATTTTTACCCCAGGAAAACCAAAATTAACCCTCTGTTAATTTTCTTCTTCTTTCCCTGAAGTAGCTATCCCACGCTTGCAAAGCGTACCTTTCGCACGTTGGCAAGATGGGAAAAAAAAAAAAATTTGGACCCTCCCTGATGAAACAAAAGCAAGCAGAGGTGCGTGGGGGAAGTGGTGTCAGGAGTGGGCCAAAAGATTTGTGGGCCGAGCTGACGAGTCAGATCAAGTGGGCCATAGAACTGGATTATTGCTTGTGGCTCGTGCTAGGTTAAGGCAAAGGTAGGCTATAACCCTCATGGACTCACGTGAACCCGTTCCTTTTTCTTTCTTTCTTTCTTTCTTCATTTTCATTTTCAGTTTCATCCTTCTCTTTGGTCCGTCGCTTTCTCCTCTTTTCATGACACACAAAAGCACTTTTTTTCCTTCTACTTTCAGGGGAAATTATACACTACAAAGAGGAAAAGAATGAATTCTATAAGGAGGGTTTTGGATCCGGATTAGATTCTGGGCCACCATGGTTGGCTTGCTCTCTCTTCATGGTAACAAAGTATGACCACTCTTACATAAGATAAGTATTGGGTGCACGAGAGGTAAATCATGGCGGTTCTTTTTTCATGAATGTGATGGTAAATCATGACATTTTCACTAAGTAGGGTGTTCAGGATGTTACTTAATGATCTAATCTATCATCCACGTGATTCAAAGTCTGTAATATAATCGAAGTGGTGCATTTTGTATTACCTGTATGTTTGAGCGAAATACTATCCTCTATGACATATTGAAATCAAATAGTACATGTACTCTGTTAGATATTTTTTGTAGTGGTTTTGTGAGCTTCACCACTAACGTGAATGCACAGTGAAGATCTAAATTGTTTTCTTATATGGTCAGACATTTGTTACGTCACCCTCTTACTTTCTTCTTCTTCTGAATTATATATAAGAGTCACAGTATACGAGATTTGCTCGTGTCTTGGTATAGTGTGACACCACAAAACCCGGTTTGTCACGAGCAGTTACCATCTTGACGGGACAAAGAAAATCAAACTTACGATTCAAACACTAGACTTACTAAATGTTGTTGCCTGTTGGTAACCCTACTTGTCACCCCTTCAACAATAAGTAACCCTACTGTTCTTTCTTAGGTCCAACATTTTCCTCTTTATTCGTTCCACCTTGCACTTGGAGAATAGACCTTTTACTGTTTTACATGATAAAAAGAGAATGAGTGATAGAAATTAAGTAGGCCATATTGGGATTGTTTTTGTGTGTCCTGGGCTCCTGGCTTCTTGAAGAAGATGGTGTTGTGCTCACACTGATTTTTGGGCTTTTGTTTTTCGGCCTTTGGGAAATGGGAACTCGACCAAAAGGGAAAGGCCCTCATTATCATTGCACGTCTAGGACTAGAATAGAACTATTCCTAACATTTCTGTAATTGAAGATGAAGATCTTCAAGATATATATGCAACGAAGTACCTTAAGAGGACAATGGCGATTTAATTTGTGGACAAGTTGGCTATGTGTGAACATATGAAAGAAGACACATAAATTTGTAACAATTCTAGTTATTGAGTTGAGAGTAACTAATACTTGATATGGTATTAAAGTTTGTAATGAACTAATGATCAATATATTGTGTTTGAAACGCATGGTCATAAATAATAGCAATTAATTTAAACACAATATATAACAGGCATGCACAAACTTTAAATCCACGGATTAGATATGATTTGAGTGGGTGTCTAAGAGAACTGTACCACTCCATCGTGAAGTTTATTCGGAAGATGTTGTTTATATGCATTCACGCCTTTTGGAATAAGTCGCTAAATTAAGTTATCTCTTAGACAATAATCTCATGGGTTAGGATTTTGCATTCAGATGGCAAAAAGAACTCAATATTTGGGTATTGCTCAAACTCAACTTATTATGGATCAAATTGGATTTGTGTAATTTTACTTTTGGCCGGATATATGACTAACTTTTTAGTTTGGGTTTAAATTGGCCTCATACTATTGGGTACCAAAATAAAACGAATATAACCCCAATGGATTGCCTAGTGTTAATGTGGGGATGATAACATTCATCACAACCTGGGTTCGATCCTTGAGGCCAACAACCAATATTATAGGTGTAATTAGGTTGAAGGTAGTTAATAAGCCATCGATATTGTCCTTTTGTGTACAATAATCTCGAACCAAGTAAACTATTTGGATCCGACCCAAATAAGAGTTAAATTACATAATGAGTCGGGACATTGCCATTTCTAATTTTGCAAAGTGTGTTCAATTATATTAGTGGGTCACATCCTATACTATTACTAACTCAACCCAATTAAAGTCTAACTCTATTCTACACTTAGACCAGAAAACATCATCATTGCAAGTTTCAATCCATTGTGTCGGGGACTAACTAAACATGATCATTAGGATTGCGATCAAACAAGACTCATCTTGGGAGGATCAACAATGTGAAAAAGAAAAACAAAGGGAACATCAATTCACTAAATTTGTAGCTACATGCTAACGTTGAAAGCGGAAATCGGATTCCAAATGTCTACACAAAAGCATGCAAAAGCTTGCCTTTGTTATTGTATTGATAGAGGAAAGCAAAATCTATAGCTCTTAAGTTTGTTCGTACTGGAAATGAAGAAGAAAAACCACATAACATTGTCGTTTATATTTCGAGATACATATATAAATCGCGGAACCAATCATAGTTCGAACCGATTGACAATAATACAAAGGATTAAAGATTTCTTCTAAGAAATCCGAACCACACAACAATGACTACATAGCTCTTTCTTCTCTTCTTCTTCACTAGGCTCCAAACTCATCCATTCACAGCTCGCGACTGACGTGTCGAACATGTAAACTCTAGATCTTATAAGTGACGGCTCCGCAGCCGTCCGATACCCTCCCAAGAAATAGAGTCGAGATCCAATAGGCGCCATAGTGAGATATACCCGCTGAGTAAGGGGATTGCAAGTCCGCAGGTGCGACTTATCCACAACATTCCACATGTTCATGTCTCCATCGTACGATTCGATGTGTCCCTTCCACGGTTTCAAACAGTCACCAGAGCTGAACAACGTCTCGTTGACCGCCACGATCTGGTTAGGCGGCACGTCCAGCTGCCACATCCCCACCACCACGTGCCACTTGCCCGTCCTCGTGTCGTACACCTCGGCCGAGCTCCGCTCCAAGATGAACGACTCTGTCACCTTCCCGGTATTATGCCGATCTCCTCCACGAGAGGCGAACCCACCGATCACATAGATCTTCCCATGCCACGTCACTCCAGCGCACTTGTACCTCAACACGCTCATGTCAGGCAGCGGGCTCCACTCGTCGCACACCGGATCGTACACCTCGCCTGACGACACCCCGTGCGTGCCGGCCACGTCGAACCTCCCGCCAGCCACGTAGATCCTGCCGTCGCACACTGTGCACGCGAAGCAGCAACGTGGCTGGGACAGGGGCCCGCACTGGGCCCACATGTCGCGCCCCACGTCGTACCGCAGGACGGTCGACCGGACCTCGAGGTCCACCTCGACAAATTCTTCATCGTCCAGCCCATCCTCCAAGCGGGCCGTGGGCCTCTCCTTGCGGACCACACGCCCGCCGATGAAGTAAATGGACTCTCCCAACGAAACCATGGCAAAGTCCTTGAGTACGCAGTTTGGGCCCAATCCGGGTATCGAGCCCACGTGGGTAAACCCGTTGCTTGACGGGTCGTAATACTCGACCCAATTGGAGGTTGTGTCGTTGCAGAACGAGGCGTAGATGCGGTGGTTCGACGGCGGCGGCTGTGAGGGCGCCGCCGCCACCCGGCGAGACCGCGACGGAGGACGCATCGGAGAAGGGACGGAACCCATTCTAGCTTTCAAAGTGAATTTGACGGTGGGGTGGGATTGATCTTAATTTGTTACGTTGCACAAATGTGATGTGATAAACAAATGTGATTTGGTGATGAATCAAGCGGAGGAGGGAAGATATAAAGGAAGTGCGGCGGAGGAGACGAAAATGATTGGGCTTGTTGGCATCGAAGCGGTTGCAGAATTGGCAACCAAATCTTATCGATGAAATTTGACCGGAGGTGAAATCTAGGCTGGTCAATTTTGTCACTGTCGCCGGCGATAATCTTTCGATGATGTCACTGTGAGAGTAGGATTAGAGCAGTACTCTTTCGTCACTCTTAGTTGGGTTCACCGTCGGAAAGGGAAAGGCAGAATATTTCAGCGGTGGTTTCAAAGACCGCGGTGGATCTGAAAAACCGGCAAAATTGCGCAACAGACGAAACAAGGAACATCTTGATCTTATTTCTTTAAACTTGCTAAGTTGTTTTTTTTTTAATTTTTTACCAAATTTTACAACGAATGAATATATTATAATGTATGCTCCGATTGAGCATTTCGTGGGAATGATCTTGCCGACGTCTTTCCGTTTCGATGTTTTTTCTTGTTCGTTTGGCGGAAGCAATTTTTCTTGTTCTCTTTGGTCGGGTATATCGAAGTTTTAAGCTTTAGGTAAAACACAAAACAAGGTTGGAAAAGGTACCTAAGCAACTAACCAAAACTACGGTCAATAATCGGATTAGTATTAGTATGAGAGACAGAGTAAGAACTTGAATGCTACTTTTGATGGTGATTAGTGATGGATGTGTTTTTGGTTTAAAACATACAGTGATTGTTGGTTTCGATCTCATTTTGGTTCGAATTCATTAAGTAGAACCTAATGATAAAAATAATATCATCTTTATTTTTAAAAAAAATAGTAAAGTTAAACCGTAAGTAGGTTATGTACCTTGAACCGTCTATTATAATTCAAACCGACATAATTACAACGAAAAGATTTATTTGAAAAGTATCTCGTCATCGATTAAGACAAAATAACCATTTGAAAAAAGTATAAATGAACTAATCTATATAAAATAGTTACCCTAATTCCTGCTAAAGGTGGTAATTTGAAGCTTCATCTTTTTTGGTATAATTAAAGTTTAAAATTTTAATTTGATATTTGAGTTTACAAATCAAATCCATGAATTCATATAATCCAATTCATAAATCAATTTGTCGTATTTTAGTAACACTGTAAGAACCGGTCCAGTTAGATTTGTTGCAACTTTGCATAGTTAATAAATACTCTGTTTAATACGCGTATATGTACCCGTACGTATTTTATCCGTTTAAAACTTTTGTATACATATTATTGTCAAGTCGTTTCATTTTTTCCCGTTCATTTGATGGCTCCCGTACTAAACACGTATAAAACCCGTATATCACGTTTAATATCCATATTTAATGAATTAAATTGTTAACTTTAGTATTATTTATATATTTATTTATTTATTTTTAAAATATTTAATTTTATATATTTACGATTATTTACATACTATTAAACGTAACATTAGTTCGAGAACAAAGTAAAATATCCGTATATATTTTATACGTAACTTTCCCGTATCGTATTTTACTAACTTTGCATAGCTGACGAAGCCCACGGCCATTTTGGGCTTGGCTGATATCAGAAGTGAATGATTGGCTACAAGTACGGCCCATTGTATAACCAGAAGCCCATTTTGCGCTCGGCAAACATGGCTTTGATTAACCAAATATGAATGACTAGGCAAGAAGACCCACTGAAAATCGAGGGCACAGAATTCTCATCCTCTACAAATTTTGTTCACAGAATGTAGCACATGACAACTTGGATCATTTTGTGTACTAAATTGGGGTGAATCCACCTCACTTCATACATGTTTCATCCAAACAGCTGGTGAGACGAAGCAATTGTATCAAATAAACGACATCTTATTTTATACAATTTTTAAATGGGTCAACTTATTCAAACCCAATAATTTAATGACTCGATCCATTATCATTCTCGCTATGATTCTTAATCTAACAGATACATATTCTTTAAAAAAGTTTTAAGACATTAACAAATAGCCGATCACTATACAATGGTGTAACTTTCGAGAACTTAAGAAGAGTTAAACAAAGGTGGTACCTTCTTAATTGCCACTTTCATTAATCTTTCACTTAAATAGTAAGATTCAAGAAAGAAGCAACCTGAAAGTCCAGAGAACACACTACTACCCTTTGGGTACAAGAAGATGGGATGGAAACCTCTCAAGTCATAATCTTTATGACGAAGACCACCAAAATCTTGGTCACTTGACCTAAGATAGCTAATCTCAAGGGAATCAATCATATGATGTATGTTATGGGGTTAGGTTTTTCACTTTTTAGTTTTTATCCATATTAGTCCAAACTGTTTTTGTGTATGGTCTATACATCCATCAAGCAATAGCTTTTCTTTCACCTTATCTCACTCTCAACTCACAATCATATTCAATCATGACATCACAAGAAAAGAGAGGTAGTAGGAATTCAAAGGATCATTAGTAGGAATAAACTGTTATCGCGTATGCGTTCAATGATCATTAGTGGGTTAGCAGTTAGCACAGTTTGACGGTGTATAGTCTGATTCTTAATTATGCCGAAATTCAAAGGACATGAAAATCACACTTATCTTCGTCACCAAACTTTCATGTTTCATATCAATCAATTGCTAAACTTTCAACTGCCTAGTATAATTATTATTTTACTATTCATCCTTATTATGTTTTTTCCTAAATTAAACATGTAAACACATCACTCATTTTAATGGCGAGAAAAATCATACTCGGTGCTGACACATATTACTCATTTTTCTCACCAAAAAAGTATTACTCATTTTAACTCATATTCAATTCAAAAACCGAACCCATCACTCAAACCATTTCCCAACCAAAAACCATGTTAATTGCTTTAGGTTGATGGTTATGCTGTGAGTACTTGTTTTGCTAGCTGTTTCCAAATTTCAAATGAAAGTTAATTTGTTGCAAACCAAAGCTTCGTAAAAGATTTGTAGTTGTCTCCAAAGCTTATGGTCAAACAACCCAAAAACCCACTAGAATGTAGCAGATTCCAGAGAACAAAAGTTAAGTAGAAAATCTCTTGTCAACCCATCAAATAGTAGAAAAGGAAGAGCAGGCTAGAGCTAAGATGGAAGGGGTTAATTGCCAAAAATATTGTTTTTTTCATTTACCACGAATATAGTGGTTTAAAAAGTATTTTGCAGGCATATCGTGTTTTAGAGGATAGAAAGCGAGTTAGCGTGAGTAGCGAAAATAAGCCGCAATACAAGTTAAATATGCGTCGGACTGAGGCAGATCCACTTTTTAAAACTTTTTTAATTTTGAATGGACGGAGCCACGCCTTGCCCACCCACTCCAGCATCATATAACAAGCGATTTCCTTTCATTTGCTAGCTAAGCGAAGAAGAGCTCTGCTGGTTGCTACAAAGATGGAAATAGGTACACATTTAATTTTTTAATTATATACTTAAAATGCTAATATGATTTTGTTTAGTTACTAATTAGTGAATTTGTATTTATGTAGTGATTTTAGACAATTTAAACTAGTCGTTTGGTGGAAATCGTAGAAAGTAGAGGACAATTTGGGCGTCATTTCGTTGGTGGTAGAAGCTTTCAGTTGACAGTTCCATGCAGGGTGACATATCACCAATTTTGTGAGAATCTAGTTCCGAGGATACTACGTAATGACATAGTACAAGATAGTGATATGCTCAAATGTTTCACTTACAAACTTGCAAAATAGTAGAATAGTGTTCTATTTCATTATGCGATGTCTATTGTGGATGTTGATAGCTTGATTGTTCTTTTCAATTTTATGGCACAAAATCATTAATGTTTGGGTGCTGAGAGGCCAAAGAAGTGCCTGGCTGAAAGGCAGAAGAAGTGCCTGGCTGAAACTGCGTCTGGAAGGTAGGAGTAGGTCGGACGAGCTGTGAGCTGTAAGTGTGTCGAACAGGCTGTACTCGCTGTCGATCTGAAATCCTCACTGGGTGAGGTACGCCGCGCTGATCACGTCGTTGTCTCCTCCTGGGCTCCTGCCTGAATTGTGGCTCTGGCACGCCCCAGCCCGGTGTCGGATCCGTACGCTCCGGCCATATGAGAAGGCTATGCTCAGTAGGATACCTCTGTACAGGTACTGTCACATCAGGATGTCGGCGCTCATCCATACCTAAAGCAGCAATCCCTGCTGCCATCATGTTAGCCAACTCTATCGTCTGATCAGTGGACATCCCTCCATTCCGTACTCCATCACGTAAAATCATCTCAGCGTACTCCATGATGTCGTACTGAAAATTCAATTTAAAATATCAGAGATTCCACACAACTACGAATTTCAAAACAAATAAAACAAAAATACGAAACAATCAATAACTAACCACTGCGTTCATTACAGCTCCTCTCCGGGTGATTGCACGTCTGGTAACATCTCGATACCACTCTAGATACTCCGAGTGGTAGGCTAAAGTCTCCTCGCTGAATGGCATAGTCGCTATATACTCATGTCGACGACTCCACAAATCAAGAGACTCTCTATAGACGTGTAACAGTTGTTGCCCACGCGATGGCCCACGAGTTGTCTGGCGAAGGAAATACCTAATCTCAAACTCACTATGTGGTTGATGAGGCACATTCTGCAGCATGCCAAACTGTCGGAGCACACGATCTGGATAGTGCCACATCACTGCTGAAAAGCATATCAGTGGAACTATTGCGCGAAACGTATCTGATCGGATCACACTACCTCTGAACTGCTCGTCTCTCGCTGAGTAAGGACACCACTACACACAAAAAGTTGTCACATGATTACTCATTAATCTAAAACAAACCAATGAAAACTATTATATAAGGAAATGTTATATACTAACCACAATGGTCGACAGCTCGTCAAAAAACAACTTGTACTGGTATAACTCGTTTCCGTGCTGACGTGTGTTGGCCGGAAGCCATCGAGCACCACGTGGGTATGTGTCCTCGGTAATAGGCTCACTCGTCTCTATATGTCGTGGTGCTATCTGTGGAAATCGCTCCCACGCCCAAAGATGCAGTAAGGGGACCCATCCACCAAGGTCACCTCCTAGGGAAGAGGACTGCGTCATGTACAGAACAGACCTACCCATCTCACGATACAAGTAGGCTAAAACAGCTGCTCCCCAGGCGAACCGTCCAGCTCTCTGCCAATCCTCCACCAAGAGTAGGTACTGCAGATGAACCGTACCACCAGACCGATCAGGAAACAATACACCTCCCATAAGAGATAGAGCATAAGCCCGTGCATACTGCTGTGTAGTCTCTGATGATGCATTTGCCGGCAGACGATTGAATTCATCCCTTAGCCAACTAATCCTAACAACTCCGCCGGAAAGTTCAGTAGGAGTCTGTCCTAACAGTCTCACGCATATCGCCGACCACTCCTCATCTGGTATGTCTACTATGACGGGATCACCGTCGATCGGTAGACCAGTTAGTGTCGCAACGTCCTCTAAGGTGATCGTAACCTCACCAAACGGCAAGTGAAAGGTCGATGTCTCAGGTCTCCAACGCTCTACGAGCGCAGTGATCAAACATGAATCAGCAGTCATAGGGACCAATTGCTGAACACTAAACAAGCCCGCCTCGATGAGGTACGTCCGATAATGTGGATGGTACGTGACTATACGGGTCGTACCTCGAATATGATAAGGTCGATCACCAGCCTATAATGCACAAAACTTATATTAATTCAATTTCATGCATAATTCTAATTTCAATTCACCTAGTAAAAACTATGTAATCAAAACATCTATCTAGTATAAACATGTACTAATTTAAAAAAAATTCATACGTAATTCTAATTTCAATTCACCTAGTAAAAGTATAAACATCTAATCTAACTAGCTAATGAACTTTAAAAAAAAAATTGTTGTGAAAGACTTACCTCGTTTTGCCAAACTGTATCGGCACGATGTTGACCATGTGCCCAAAGAAGTTCCGAATCAATCGGAGCTGTATCAATTACTGAAGGTGGTGGCCTCATGGAATAAGGGTCTATGAGTCTAGGAACTGAAAAAACAACAAACAAAACAAAAATTTTTTAAAAAAAAACAGAATAGTAATAAACATTCCGCCGCAGCCGAGAATCCAGCCATCGCCGGCAAAAATCGTTTACCTCGGTATCGGCCGGCTCCGGCTCCGCGAGCTTGCCGCCCTCTCCTTCTTCCTCTGCTGGCGACCACTTCCTCTTCGCCGCCGGAATGGTCGGAGTCAGACATCCTTCCACCGAAACCAGATCTGGTTCTGGAGCGGCTCCGTGTGAGTGAGGGAAGAGAAAATAGGAAGAAAGAGATGCGGATCCGCTTGAGTGATGGTAGTAGGAGTAGGAAGCTTTTTGGCAGATCCGCGTGTGAATTTGGTGGAAGCAGAGGGGAGGTTCTGCGGAAACGGAGAGGAAGGAGAAGAAGAAAGGTGTTGTTTTGAATATATGCTGTGAGGGGTTGGGGAAATATTCAAAAAAGAAGAGGGGTTGGGGAAAACGAAACGAAATAAAAAAGGGGAAGCGAGCACGCATGAGACTGGGGCGGGACCGCCGTTTCCTTAGTTTCAGAGAAGTGCGGGTTCGAGAATGGATCTGATGTGCATTGGGTATCCGTTGGAGGAGCAAGTAATTAGCCCTTTGAATACAAAAACCAAAGTCCTAATTTCAGTTTCCATTTCAGATCTTTATGATCTTTCTCACTCTTTAATGTACAGTGCTCTTACTAGATATATCATTGAAAACAATCACCCATATACTGATTTTTACAAAAAAGGGCAGAATTCTGTTACAAGACAAGAGGTTATCGATGAAGGTTAATCTTGAGCTGATTGGGATTCTACATGCTCGAAAGGTTTTCTCGTTCATTGATCGCGTCACACGTCGTTGAATTGTTCGGTATCGATGATGAGTCCGACGAATTAATCGATATTGTTTGTGAGGGTCAACTTTGTTGCGATCAAATGAAAGAGAGAGCTTTCGAGCATGCAAAAGTGTTCAGAGCTATTTTGTTTTGTTTTCCAACTTAAGCTCTGCTCCTTTTGCTCATCCTCTTCCTAGCCTAAAACTCAGTTCTCTTCCAGCTTTAAATAGAAACCAGCCAGCTCTTGAGGTCCCCTACAAGTTCCAGAACAGAGCACACTGCATGAGACAAAAGGATGGTTTCTTTTATTTGGAGAGGAAAGGCAGAGAGACAAAAGAGACAAAAGGAAAAAAGAATTGTTAATGTAACATATCTTGTAATGTAACTATCAACACCTCTCGTTCTCACCATTTGGCCATCTTCCCAAACGAGATATTAGTAAGCAACCAGTAGATAAGGCAAAAAATTGTTAATTGCCCTTGATTTGGACTTGACAATTGGGTCGTCTTTGGTTTGGGGAATCTGCTTTCTCTCACTGGATTCTGTTGGGCTTGGATTCTTCTGCTTATCTTTTTCCCATTTCCACAGCTTCAATGGCCAATGAGATAACTCAAGCAGTGATTCCTTTCCTAGTAAGCCACGAGTTAAAACACCAGTTTCTCCAATAGGAGGGGACTACCCATAACTTGATAACGACTAAACATCCCAATTACTCTTGGCAGCAACTAGGGATGGCAATGGGGCGGGTTTGGGGTGGGTTTGCCTAAACCATCCCCATCCCCATCTTCAAATACCCAAACCCATACCCGCCCCATACCCATGCGGGGAATGTTTTGCAAACCCATCCCCATACCCGTGAGTTTCGGGTACCCATGGGTAATACCCATCTCCATACATCCAACATTATTATACCTAAAACTTACAAGAAAAGTTTTAATTATAACCATAAACAAACCTATTGTATCACGAAGTCAACAAAACACGGTCATTTTCAAAATACGATTCAAAGAATATGATCCTAAAACATCCATTAATACATAATATAGACTATAATATTTTTTAAATTATTATGCTCTAACTCTTTATACATTTACTAAGTAATAATTAACTAACATAATTTTGTTGACAAGGGGGAAAGTGAAAGAGTGGAAGGAGAATTGAGGGAAATGAATTAGGTTTTGATTAAGGTGGTTACTCAATTGCATTTCTACTATTTATTTTCTCGAGTTATCATAATCATCATTGATAGATTACAATTTAATCCACGTATTTTTTGATATGTGAAGAAATTCTCTTGGTGGGGCGGGTATGGGTATGGGTATGGGGCGGGGGAGGCTAGAACCATACCCGCCCCATACCCATCAAACCTTTTGCGGGTTTTACCCATACCCGCCCCATACCCGGTCAAAGCGGGGATTCCCCGCGTTGACTGGGTATGGGGCGGTCGGGTACCCGCGGCTATGGGTTTGATTGCCATCCCTAGCAGCAACCCATTTTAGGGCTGGCTTTTGAATGTTGCATTGTGGATAGAATATATGAACATGGGCATGCCTCATATCTCCTTAACAATGGATTGTCTGATTTCATATGCTTTCTAAATTCGTCGTTAACTTAATGTACTCGTGTTATGTTTTGAAATAGTACGAAATATATTATTGACATTTGCATTAGTTTAGTTTGACCATTATTAACATCAAATTTCATCGAATCAAGTTATCGTTTTCTACAAACTCGTTCACTAGACGTCTGCCCAACATAATCCGCGGTAATCCACCCAAATGCCCCGTTAATTCGAATCTAATTGTTACCCTTTGTTCTCTCCCCTATCATTCCTCATTGGAGCAAAAGTGGTACAAGTCTACCAACAACAAAACAAACCAAGGAATATGATTCCTACCGCAACCAGACCAAACTAGGACCTCTGTTACAAAGTTATATTGTGCAATGTCCTTTGGAACTCAAAGCCCAAATAATCAAGAAAAGAGTGTTTGTATCAAGCAAACGACAGAAATACAGAAAGTCGAAACCAGAAAATCTGATAGAGATGGGACGACCCATTTAGGAATAGAGCTGTGCTGGCTACTATTGCAGAAGAAGCCTCCACTCTCTCTCTGCCTCTGGCTCTCTGCCCATTACAAAAGAGAAGAACCCTTTTCCTCTTTTTTGTTTTCATTTTCTTCCCTTTCTGTGCTTTCCTTTTCTCGGGCTAGTAAAATGGTAACTGATAGAATTTGAGCATCCCAATGTACTTACCTAAAAGCAGCAACAATATGACTGTTTCCTTCCTCCTCCCGCTTCTCAATTACCACAGCTTCTTCTTCTTCTTCTTCTTATTTGCTTTGGTTTAGGCTCTCTCTCTTTCCCGGTCTCTTTTACTTTACTCTCCTTCTTAAAGGTTCGACCTTTTTCTCCATTGACCCACAGATCAACCCCAAATTCCAACACTTTCCGCCTCATCTCGTCAAAATCTGACCTGGGTCCTGAGTTTTGTGTCCTTTCCACAAATGGGTTTGGCCGGGAAGTTGGAATCGGTGAACAGTTTCAGCAGAAAGAAATGCAGGAGCTTGTTCTGGAGGGTGAGAGCTGCGGTGAAGAAAGCTATGAAGAGTAGATGGGGGAATCAACATGGGAAGAAGAAGTTCCAGTATGATCCGTCGAGCTACGCCCTGAATTTCGACGACAGTTGCCGCCGGTTCTCCTCCTCCACCGCCGCCGCTGAAATTGTGTATTGCTACCCTTTGAAGGTTGCCGGGAACAATGTCAATGGCAACAGCAACTTTACCATCTGGGTTTACATCGTTTGGGTAGAACCGTTGAGTTCTTAGCTGAATTTGGCAGTTAAATCTTTTTTGTAGGGGTTTCTTTAGGCGTTGAACTCGCCGGAGTTATGTTATTTTGGTCGGTAAAACTTGGTCCGGTGTACAATTGCAACGATATCCTTTTTTTCTTGCTGTGGTCTCTGACTATCTGTTTTGGCAATTAATTAACTGCAGAGATTGTCGTTTTATCAGGAAGCATTGAATTGTCTCCGTTGGGCTAGGCAAAAAAAAAATAAAAAAAGAAGCTCCACTGCTCCACCGATTACTGAACTCGCAATAAATCAATTCCCAGCCAGAAATTCAACTGATTTATTTATATGAATATGATGTTCTGCCACCGGCAGCCCAAAGGAATAAAAAGGGAGCAGAGCAACAGTGCAGTTCATTTAATGCAGAACGAGCTCCCCCCACCAATTATGCTTCATCTATGTAGAGGTTTCTAACGAACAAATATTGAAGCTTGTCCAACCAGCCGACCTTTAACAGCAAGTGCCAAGTGGGTTGGTTTGTGCGTTTGATATACAGAGACACTTTTGATAAGGAGCCCTCTTCTGCAGCGAAGACGAACTCCAAACACCATGGCTGGTGTATCGATCATGACAGATTTTCTTCGTTACGAGCATCAAGCAGAGTTTACCATCTGACTGACCTATATGGACGTGAAAGGAAGCAGAGATTGTACAAACAAATTTCAATTGTCACAAACGATTACACGGATGAACATTTCCACGAAGAAGATGAGAAGAAGAGAGTATTCCACAAGCGCTAAACAGTAGAGTATCGTAGTTTCCTCTTGGACTTCTTCAGGTGAAAAAAAGAGAGTAGTACAATTGCTGGGATGCTTCTTTCCCAAGCTTTCTCTATACGCTCAATATCTCCTCAAGTGTTTGGAACATAAGGGTCTATATCAAACTGCAGATTCTTCCAGCATGGCAGTAGACAAGTCGTTTATTCGTGGATAGATGGCCTTCTGATCTAGTTCCCTTTGTGCCCATATCAACATTTTCAACAAAGTTGGGATCTTTGGTTCTGTCATGTACCAAATCACAAGACATTATTATATCACTACCATGTTCAGTATAGTAAGCACAGAGTACGCAGTCATCTAATCCCTCCACTAAGTTCATAACCTGAGAGATCTAACAACCCAGAATCAGAAAAATATAACGGTTACCTTTTTCATGACTCTGGCTGGTAAGAATAGCTGCATTGACCTCACTTGCTGTTTTTAACCGCTGAGAGATATCGAGAAGTTCTCCAACGGGACAGTTTGCCACATCTTCAAAAGCCAGCAGTGATACAGTTCTCTCGAGCTCTTCCAGAAAGCCTTGCTGTGGAATATTTTATTATTGTGTAAATTTGATCAAATCTCACAAGGCAACAAGCATGCTGTAGAAAATATCAACATAGGCAAGAGGGTCATGATTTAAGAATTTACATCTTCTTCTCCTCTTGGTGCTAGCTCTTCCTGTGCAAACTCCAAGGCTTCTTCTGTTTTGCCATTTCGGATAAGTTCGATAAGCCTTTGCTGTTGAAGATGGAAGAAGAGTTGGGGATTTGTGTCCAGTATCTGCAAAGAATTAACATTATGCAAGTCAAAGATCAGAGGGAGAAGCATGTGATAGTAACTAGACAGAGTAACATGTAAGCTTGTTACAGCAACTCTGAGAAACTAGAAACTATGCACCTCATCTATCTGGCCGATTGTGATTTCATCTCCGAACTAACCAGTCAATATTATCCACATAGGGGATTCAGTAAATCTTAGCCAACCAAGCCACTTTTTAACTGGATTAACAGGTATTGGGGAGAAAACAGATGACAAATTTGTTCCATAATAAGAAATGCCAGTTCATACGGTCCAAAGGATTCTTATTCCAATATTACAGCACAGTTGCGACTTGCAGTATTAGTGACTCGTTTTGGCAAGAAGATTATACCTGACATTATTAGAAACGTTAAATGTATGATTTTGGCTGATTGAACGTCAATGCAAGGGACAAACTTTGGACTTAGCCAAATTCTAAGCATCAGGGAGAGATAGGATCAGCCACTATGCATATTCTTTGACATAGGAGGATCAAATATATAAACTAAAGCAAAATTGGAAATCAATTGCGTTTGAGAACAGCAAAGCAGTTGGACATTCGTACCTCAGGGTTCAGATCATTAACCTTCACAATTGCGTCCTCAACATTCCCACACTGCACCGCTTTCTTAACAGCCATGCGATCAATGATAGTTCCGAGATCTATTCCTGCTGTTTCTCAGTTAAGGAACAAAACAACATTTAAAATATACCTCTGCATATCAAAATAACAGCCATTACTGGAGACAAAATCAGCAACAGTATACAAACAAATAGAGAGGATACTTTCTGTCCCGGATTCCCTCTGGAACTTCTCAGCAGCTTCAACATAACCTTCAGTGACAAAGAAGTTCATCACCAACCTATTCATATCTTCTTTCTGTATTTTCACATCATTCAGCTTCTTTTCCCACTCGACACTTGAGATCATCTTTTTTGACTCACCCTGCAACCACAAAACAGAGACGAACATAGTCATATAGCAATATAGCAGACTACCATGGAAATTATTCCGCCAACAGCAGATTACCAGGAAAATTTCAAGACTTAGAGCGACGGGATAATAATCAAAACATTTCAGAATCAGAATCTTTTCTTTATTCCCACTACCACCGACTAGCTAAGTTCCCTCCAGAAGTCAGCAAGCAAGGAAAAGGCAAGAACTTTCAAGATTATCCAATTCCACAATTATCCAAATCGATAATCATCCCATAAAAGGAAACAAAAGAATCAAACACCACCAAAACCGTACAGAAATAGGAACTCAAAATCCCAAATAGAGGCCTCACAACTGTTCTTGCCATCTCTTCAATGTCCGCAAGATGACGAAGCACAATCCAGACCAGTGACATCAGTGCTGAAGAACCACCATCAAGCCCATGAGAGAGAGTCGCTCCAAACTGCAAAACCAAACAAACCAAGTCGGAGAAACCACTTCATTTCAGCTCTCAGCAGGCGAGAAGATGACGATGATAAAAAGGAAACCGCCATCGCTGCATTCAACAGAAAAGAATCTCGAATGGAAATTCCCGTAAGCTCACCGAAGACTAGCGCAAAACCCTAGCTCTCTCCTTCGCGTCTCAAACGGTTTCGGGTGAGCGGAAGGAAGCCTCGGCGGAAATGGAGGAAGAGGAGATGCTAGTCAATTTTCCGGGCGATTGATCTTTTTTAGGAGGATGAGTAATCGGCCGGTAAGGGGAAATTATTTATGATCAGCGATCTACACTCCTCCGGCCAACTACCAGAATCCCAAAGTACTAGTTGGCAGCCGTGAACCTTTTTGCTCATGGGTTGGGCCGTATGTTTCTTAATTTTGGGCTTATGGAGATTCTGGTCAACGATATTACTAGGCCGGAATGCTTGAAACATAGGTGATAGGCCTGCTTTGCGCCTTAAATGAAGGCCACGGCCCAGTTGGTGAATTTAATTATACTTCTCCTCTTTATCGATGATAGAAGTATTAGGGTATGCCTACTATGACATGCATGTCACCGTGACATGCACTTTTCGGTCGACCTATTCCTAAGGGCGGTCGACCGAATAGTCTAATTTGGGCAGCACGAGAAAGCCATGCGGTCGACCGCAACGACCACCTGGTCGACCGCATTTAGTTTAAGTTGGTATTTTTGGTCGACCAGAATAGAACCTCGGTCGGCCATTTCGTTGGCGTCAGAAACAACATGGTCGACCACCTAATATATAGGTCGACCACTTGATGGCAGTAATTAACAAAATGGTCGACCGGATAAGGAAAGAGGTCGACCAGATAGAAGATAAGTGTTCTATCAAAGTGTCCAATCATTTGACGTAAAATGGAGATCAAGTGTTGGTTTCTCGGTCGACCTAATCCGGTACGAGGTCGACCGAATACAAGAAAGTCAACTTATGCCCCGTGTCTTTTTTGCTTATGTATGTCGATTTGTGTGGTTAATTTAATCGTATAAATTATGTTTCAAACCATCATAATTAGTCAATTATAACAAGGACTCATCAATCCATAGCATAACAACTAAAAATAAAACACACATAAAATAGCATAATTGTTCACCACATAAAAATAAAACTAAAAACACCATCATAGCATAATTGTTCACACATAAAAATAAAACTAAAAAAATAACATAAAAATAAAACTAAACAAATAAAACTAAAAACTACTCATCTCCCCCCTCTCCCTCATTCACATTTTCTTCATTTTCTTCATTGGTGGTGGTAGCATGGTGGTCAGATGTGGTGGGATGCATGTATCTTCCGCTGAAAGATCGCCACTCATCTCGCATCTCATTCACGGTCAGCTGCATTGTGCTCATCTAGGCGTTCATTTGCCCCATGTAGTCGTACATGCCAGTCATCTGGGTGGACATCTGGCCCATGTACTCGTACATGCCATCCATGCGCTCCCACACACGCTGTAAGGTGATCGGTGGAGTTGAAGTCTGTGCCTCCCCCATTGGCTCGTCTCGAGCTCCTTGATCACCATCATCATCCTCATCATCATCATCATCATCATCACCACCACCAGCATGAGCAATGTTTGCTCTGACATACTCACCATTACGCAGCTCAAAGCCCATCTTTTTCAGAGATGAAACAGTATAGAACTCCTGCCTTGAGATCGATAACCCCACCTCTTCACTTAAATTCACATTAAAATGCTCAAATATCACAGTGAGAATCATCCCATAGGGAAGATTCCTGTTTGAACTCTCAGCAGCAGTAAGCATGTGGGTAAAGATCAAGTGTGGCAAGTTCACCTTCTCGTTTAACAGCAGGCTGGTGAGGAGCTCCATGTCGAAGTAGGTGACTGTCTCCCGATGTCCACCCTTTGGCAGAATGTTGTAGGAAAGCATGTGGTGAAGAACTCTGGCTTGAACTGTCAGGTGGTTACTCGATGGCCTATTGCGCCCCTGAGCATCTTCCTTTTCATCAAGACCACATACGGTCTGGATTTGCTTGGCTCTCGTGTAATGCGTTTCATTCCAAGCACCGTAAGAATTGATTCTCCTCCCCGCGTTTGGAGCCTCCAGTACTTGCGCCAACACATTCTTGCTGATCCGCATCGCCACCCCATTCACATAGGATTTGAATGCGTGAATGGATCCATTTGCATTGCGCTCGTAGGAGATGTTGTTGTAGAAGTATTGTACCATTTTTGGGTAGTATGGTACATTGAGTGATATCACCTTCAACCACTCCTGATCGACGAAGGGTCCCAGAAACCCGTAATTCTCGAAATGAGAATACGCATCCGCCGTCAATGGCCTTCCCGGAACCACCCTGCGGTTGTGCATGCTCTTCTCTTCGTAGTTATCACTTTGCTCCTTCGACTGGAACAAATTCGAATTGAACTCTTCCCATTCCGAACTTGAAGCAGCAGCTTTTTGTGTCTTTCTTTTCTTTTTGCCGCCAAACATCCTGCGATCAAACAAGCAAGAATACACGTTAGTCCAAATTTCGAAATGAACAATACGCGGTCGACCACTCTACAAAGCGGTCGACCACAACTAATTTAAAACGACAATGGGTCGACCTCAGAAGAAACACAGGTCGACCTCAGTTAGTTTAAAACGAGAACAGGTCGACCTCAGAAGAAGCATAGGTCGACCTCAGCTAATTTAAAACGAGAATGGGTCGATATAAACCCGTAACAATTCAAATACAAAATTGCCTTCATAGGTCGACCTCATAACTATCATAGGTCGACCTCGGCTAAATTAAAACGAGCATAAAATGGGCCAAATGATAGTACCACTTGAGTACAAAACAGATCCGGTCGACCTCATAATCTGAAGAGGTCGACCATTGGTAGTTTCGTACAATTTGAAATACAATGAGATATTAACTCGCACTTTTGCCTTCATAGGTCGACCTCAGAACTATCATAGGTCGACCTCGGCTAAATTAAAACGAGCATAAAATGGGCCAAATGATAGTACCATTTGAGATCAAAACAGATCCGGTCGACCTCACAATCTGAAGAGGTCGACCGATGGTAGTTTCGAACAATTTGAAATACAATGATACATTAACTCGCACTTTTGCCTTCATAGGTCGACCTCAGAACCATCATAGGTCGACCTCGGCTAAATTAAAACGAGGATAAAATAGGCCAATTGATAGTACCATTTGAGATCAAAACAGATCCGGTCGACCTCACAATCTGAAGAGGTCGACCGATGGTAGTTTCGAACAATTTGAAATACAATGATACATTAACTCGCACTTTTGCCTTCATAGGTCGACCTCAGAACCATCATAGGTCGACCTCGGCTAAATTAAAACGAGGATAAAATAGGCCAATTGATAGTACCATTTGAGATCAAAACAGATCCGGTCGACCTCACAATCTGAAGAGGTCGACCGATGGTAGTTTCGAACAATTTGAAATACAATGATACATTAACTCGCACTTTTGCCTTCATAGGTCGACCTCAGAACCATCATAGGTCGACCTCGGCTAAATTAAAACGAGGATAAAATAGGCCAATTGATAGTACCATTTGAGATCAAAACAGATCCGGTCGACCTCACAATCTGAAGAGGTCGACCGATGGTAGTTTCGAACAATTTGAAATACAATGATACATTAACTCGCACTTTTGCCTTCATAGGTCGACCTCAGAACCATCATAGGTCGACCTCGGCTAAATTAAAACGGGCATAAAATGGCCCAAATGATGGTACCAATTGAGTGCAAAACATCACAGGTCGACCTAATATCTGAAGAGGTCGACCTCAGTCTATAAAACAATAGGACATGGCGATTGAAAACCAGATGCGGTCGACCACGAACATGGGAAGGTCGACCGCACGTGGCGTACAAAAGGGAAAATCCCTCTTTTTCAAGGTACAGATCTACAAAACACGGCCAGAAATAAAAGAAAGACATCACAGGTCGACCTCAAAATCATCATAGGTCGACCTCAATCCATAAAACAGAGGAAAAGCGGGATGAAAGCCAGATGCGGTCGACCACTAATATGAGAAGGTCGACCTCACCTGGCGTACAGAATGAAAAAACATTCTTTTTCAAGCTACAGATCTACAAAACACGGCCAGAAATAGTACAAAGACATCACAGGTCGACCTCAAAATCATCATAGGTCGACCTCAGTCCATAAAACAGAAAGGAAACTAGATTACAAGTCAGTAGCGGTCGACCACGATGATGAACAGGTCGACCGCTTCTGACGAACAGAAGCAAAAACCCCTCTTTTCCATCTTTAGATTTTTTGAAAACAAGAGGTAGAAGACAAGAATCAACCCACAAATCAAAGAAGAGTGAAAAGCATTACCTTGTTCTTCTTCTAAGTGATGAGGATGAAGGCTTTCAAGAAATTTTGGAAAATGGTGTTTTTGGAAATGGGAGAAGAAGATGAGGAAGGGAAAGGAGAGGAAGAATGAGTGGATGTGGGGGGGATAGGGTTCTGATTGTGGTGTAGAATGAGTGGGGGAGGGTTTCTTAAATAGAGGATGGAGGGAGGTTTGGGTGGGTGGTCTGGTCAGGTCAACCGGTTTGGTCGGCCGTATTAAATGCGCGGTCGACCTGGCGGTAGTGTTCGGTCGACCGCCTTTGGTCCGGTCAACCTTAACTTATATGAGGTCGACCGTTTATAACTATTTCAACCCACAATCAATTAACTCATATATTAGTAAGATAATTCGAAGATAATACAATGCAATCACAGTTATTAAAAAATAAAACAACTCCTAAAAAAAATAGAAGAAATTTAAGATCCTTTTTTGGGACTTTGTTTCGGGCACTTGGGCCGAAAATGACCAAATTTCCCACATTTCGAACACTTTCTCAAACTTTTGCCCGATGCAGTTCGTGCTGACTTGAATGTCCCCTTGGTCTTCCCAATTTTTGGATCTTTCACACTTCGAAGGGGTGCTGGAGGGTTTGCCGGTGTGGTGTTGTCTTCTCTCTCCTTCGCGAACTCAATTGCCCATTGAGTAAGGTCGTCCAACGTCTTAGAGACATGATTAAAAGCAGATTCACTACCAGACGCGATGTCACATAAACGCTTACACTTTAGAGCCAATCCTCCATGTCTTATCAGTCGACCAACTCTCTCTCCCACATCACCTCCAACTCCAGGATGACGATTTAGTGTCTTCGCATTTTGGGTCCATCGAAGCTTGAACCAAGTCGAGGGTAGTGCGGTGTATCCCATATTTTTTATTACTGTAAGCATGTGTCTGCATGGAAACCCCTTAGATTCAAATAATGCACACTCGCATTTGAGATCTTGAGTGGACGTGGTAAATGTTAACCGCCTTATCCGAT